TGATTATACTGTATAGCAAATGACGACAAATCCTAGCCCATGAAAACAAGAAAATGACTTCAGTTTCTTTCTTTTTTTTTTTTGAAAAGCTGTGCACTTGGGCACAAAAAAACGTTCAGTGTATGTGTGCTAACTGTGTGAGAAGATATATGTGTGAAATATTGATATGTTGAAGGCTGGCTGAAAGTTTTAGAAATTGCAAAATATACTTATCAGCAGAAATATGACCACCAAGAACATATAACCATGAAGTACATTAACGGAGGCATGATAATAGAAGATTAGTAGGTTATGAGAACCAGTATATTACACAAAATATAAATTCAAATATTAATCAAATGCAAGTAACAATAAATGCAGTACTAATGAAACTTATGAACGTTGAGCCATAATTTCATTGTCTCTTGCACAAACCGCTACTGATTTGGTGTACAATCACAGCGCACGCAACTAAATCAGCCTAAAATAATTTGCTGTTATGTAGGATTATCTAATTTAAGCAGAGCGGTCTCAAAATGACTGCCGCTGCATTACTGAAATAGCCGCTCAAATGCATATAAATTCCACCTTATTTATGGGAAGGAAAAATGATTAACCATTTCCTTTTTTGGCCTTAATCATCACTAAGGTTTGTAAACTGTTTCTCAAATGTGCTGAAAATTTTTGGGGGGATAACATCCGCGTCAATCACAGATAGCAACAATGGCTTGACACGAAACTACTGTCAATAGCCCAACTTAGTGTTTCATCTTGACTACCTTTACCTACTCATTACATCATAAAAAAAATATCAGTTCAAGATAACATTGATTCTTTTTGCATAATATAGAGTATAGAACTGCGCTTTGTTTCATATATAATTTTAACCTCTTCCCCACAATGGGGGGTACCCCCAGAAAGTTGAAAAAAAAAAAAAAAAAAAAAAAAATCGTCTTCGGTACATCATAACTGCCACAGTTCTTTACTGAATCCCCCCAAAAATCCTTGTATTAGATCAACCAGAGCCTAAGGCAGCATAAATGGCCCATTTTTTAATTTCCTTTTTTTTTGGTGGGGGACTGCTTGACTGTACTTTCTAGTCTTTTTTTTCAGCTTTAAAAAATTCACATTTTTTTTATTAAGGCAAAAATTTCAAAATCGGCCATTTACACGACCTCAGGACTCCAAGGCTCTAGCGAAAGCAACAAACTGCATTTGAATCGTACAAAAATCATGATAGTTAGGATGTTCCGAAGATCATGTCAACAAAGCTTTATATTTTGGCAACGTGCCAATGTTCATTATCTCTTATTTTTCTCTGAATCTAATGACTATATATATATATATATATATATATATATATATATATATATATATATATATATATATATATATATATATATATATATATATATATATACATAAAAACTCATTTAATGTACTTTGCATTGCGATGCGATGATTACCCAGTCAATAGGAATTTTCATTTTCAATATGGATGCTATTCTGTAAAAGGTATGTAATTTTCTTTTTTGTTGTTTATACAAGTAGATATTTTCATCTGAAAAGTTTAATAAATGCATTTTACCAGAGACAACTAATCTAAAACAGATAAAAACTTTTTTTCTTTTTCTTTTCTTTCTTTTTTTCCCAGTTTTGAAGAACTGGAGAACTGTGGAAGGCAATATCAGTACAATATCATCCTAGTTATAAAGTCCTAGCATGAATATAACATGGCAGTTCAATTTTGAGAATTTAAAAGCATATGAATTTCGTTCATAGGATTCAAGAATTACCAAAGTAGTTGAATTTTTGGTATAGGTTACAGACACTGATGCACATAGACATAAATGGACACCGCCATCTTACAGAGCAGAAGAAATAGAGTGGGACAGAACACAGTTTAAGCTGCTCATATAGAATCGTACACAGTGTTTCACAATTTTTTCCTCCTGTAGTCAGATCACACACCATGGCCCGCGCTCATTTCAGCGCAAAACACCGGTGAGAAATGTTGCGTTTCCAGTGTTGTGTTGATTCTGGGTTCTTTTTAAGATTTTACAGTGGCATCAAAGAATAATTAAATTTTAGTAACCATCCCAGTTTTATATTTGGGCCCACTGAGAGCTCCAAATGACAAAAAAAGTTATTAAAATCTAAGCAATCCTGACAGTACAAAGAAGCAACAAAAGTTTGAAGTTCCCGGATATAAAGGTATTTGGTTTATCACTTTACCATGTGAATGCAGCTCCATCTTGCCGTGCATACCGAGGTGGAAAGAATAAGTCCCGGGGGGCTTATGTTGGGGGCTTGCCCCCCCATCAACCCACTCCTTGGGCTGTTCCCGAAGGGCACGCCTAGTCACAGCAATTTATATCGATATATTAGATTGGTTTATTGGTCACTACGTTTTTTGGGGGGGTTTGGAATGTGTGAATACCCATAGAGTTTTGTCAAAATGGGGGTTGGGTTCCTGTAGTTTTTTTATTTCTGGCGCGTCAGCCAGTAGAATTTCAAAGATGGTGGTTACATTCGTAGAGTTTCATTGGCCAAATTTCAGGATTTTTTGTGCTAGTTTTAGGCATTTTTTATCTTAATTCTTACTTAAGCCTGTTTTACCCCATAATTTCCCTGATATACTTCATGCTTTCCCCTGCTAAAGGGACTATCAAATCAAGATTGTCGATGGAGAAATGGTACTCGATCTCCTGAATTAAGTCATAGGCACCCATTATCTTTACTAAGAAGTGCACAAAATCATACAGATGCCAAGGTGTGGTTGGATATTTGCATATTTATCATACCTAAGACCTACTGTAACGTCTAAACCAAATATATATCGGAAACACACGAAACAGATGCGATTGCTTTTTCAACTCTCGACGAAGACTGCGCTAACAAATGAGCTCAAAGGTCCATATAGTTTTTATGTACTGCTACTTATAAAACATTTTCGTTTAAAATTAGTATACATGTGATGAGTACTTGTGTGGTCATTGTTATTGAAATCCATATTTTCAACTATAGTTCATGATTTTATTACACCACCTGAAAACCCATTTCTCATAGTAAAGAAGTTCATTACTACCGAGAATTGCCAATCCTCAAGAGTAGATAAAACAATCTAAATACAAATGATTACACGGGAATAGAAAGGATCATAAATCATGCCGAGATTCTAAGAAATCGTCTGCTTCAAAACAATCACTAATTTCTTCCTCGTTTATGTATTTATTTACGTAGTATAAACGCAGCTTTGTAAAAACTTGATTGAATCGATGATACCTGTGCAAAGTTCCAGTGGAGAAATAATTAGGTCACCCTCAAGATAGTGTATACGGTGATTGCGTCATAGACACGGATTTGCGACCGGTGGAGTCAGCTGATTCTCCTCCACAACCGGTTATTTTTCTCGTGTTTATTTGTCCCACAGGCGGTAAATCACCTGAAACTTCCCACATGGACAATACAATTAACAAGTATAATCCGTTAATTAACATAATTATCCAAAGAAACAACACTGCAATGAGAAAATTGCGACTGAAATTGCTTACCGGTGCCAGGAATCGTCCTATTCTCAACGCCATCGTCGGCCTAGTAAAACTGGCACAGATTGATCCTGCTGCCATCTGGTGGAGGACTGGACAAACAAGACAAAACACTTAAAGTATAAAGTATTATAGAAAATGTGATCCAGAGCTTCTTCTCCCAATAACGCCATCTGTTGACTGGATTATACAAAAAATGGCTATTACAAAGTATTTTGTTCATGTTTTGTATATCATTTTATGACTAGCTATTGTCTTATTTCGGAAGTGCTCCTGATGCCATCTGGATGAAGATAGAACAAGAAAGACAAGGCGTCAGCGATTCAAAACTGTGGAGGAACTGTTGATTTACTTTCTGCTAGATTTATCTATTGTGCGGACTTGCCGAGAAATTGTGGAAACGTATTCCACGATAGAGTTATGTGTCATGTTTTCACATTCAGTTTATCTTTACGAATCTCCTGCAAATGTATATCTTAAGATATGGAAATGTCTTGCAATTTATTTGCATTAGTCTAGCAACTAGAATATGAATGACAGTTTTCCTTTATACTGCGACTATGATTCATGTCATTGTATAACAACTTGTCAGTCATCTTTCATATGCAAAATACATATCGGATTAATATAATTAATTTCATTTCATTATGAATCTGCTTACGACAAATATTAATTTTGTCATCCCGGAATGGACTGCTTACGACAAATATTAATTTTGTCGTCCCGGAATGGACTACTTACGACAAATATTAATTTTGTTGTCCCGGAATGGACTGGTCCCGGAATGGATTGCTTACGACAAATATTAATTTTGTTGTCCCGGAATGGACTTTTACGGGTGTTTTGACCGTTTTCATTTTCGCGGTAAATGTAAACAAACAGACGACACTTTTCTCATTTAGCGCCATCTATTGAGCAGACGCAATAACCCCAATCTTCCATTCGCAAATATACATTCGGCAATCCGATCTTTATGGAGTATATCTAGGGATTCTCTGTATAGAATCATAATGCTAATTAGCTTTATCATATTACACAAGTTGATTTTGAAATGACAGTAATTAAGATTAGATATTATTTATTTTTTGTTTTCAATTTGAATTTAGTTACTTCTTCGGAAACATTTTACACTGAACATGTCTGCGCATTCTTAAGTAAAAGTTAGAAAACATAATCTTAATATACGTGCGTAGTGATTCTTATATTTTATCAACAATAAATTCAATACAAAATTTCCATATAGTTCATTGTACAAAAATATCATAGTAATGTGTATATATCGGCCATGGCTGCCAACCCTTCTCTAGTCATCGCCAGCCGAAATAAAGACAAATATTCCAACAAACCCCACAAACCAAACGTCGAACCGCAATGTAATTATTACGGGCCTCAAAATAATCCCACCAAACTAATTCATCACACTATTAAACCGCCATGAAATTGGAAGAAATAGAACATTCTAGAACGTTCCCGGTCTCATGTTGGCCGCCCTGCCCAGCCTTCTGCTCGCCGCCTCCCTGTTAAAAGACGCCTAAGAACCAAAATTTTCACACAAAATGGCTCTCCACGTCCCTAAAGCTCCGGGATTCGCCTCTATGCTCAAGGATGGTGCTAGGGTAAGTCTAAAGTGATGGGTTTTAGTGAGAAGGAGCTTATGAGAGGTTTATTTTGCTGAAAAATTGGATATTTGTGAAGGTTTGACCAGGCGGGTTGTCATGTGCTTCACCACGCATGGTTTCTTGTGTTTCGAAAATAACTCTTAAAGTAGATAAATTCTCCGTTTTGTTGAGAGAATCTGGCTTTGCATTGGTAAAATTAGCTAAATATGGAGAAATACTTTTGTCGGTTTATTTCTATTGGCTTTTTTTGACTTGGATGACTCATACCTGTCAGGCTTTGGCTCATAATGGGTAATTGACCAAATTTGGGGGAATCTTATTCGATTTATTATATCAGTGCCTTTTCAGGTTGGTAAGTTTGTTTATTTTTAAAGTAGATAGGTATTTGTCCAGTATGTGACTACTCAGGAAAAAAAGATAATACCCCAGTAAGGAATCAAAATTCCTTCAAATGTAACGCGTTTTTGAAAGAGAATAGGTCGTTCAGAAGTTAACCTGCTAGATGCAGGTGCCTCACAGTGCATGAGTGAACAGAAATCCAGCATTAGGCTTCCCTGAGTGACAACCCTCCTTCGTGTGTGGATGTAGGCCCGGCCCACACAAACGACCCATTGGAGTATCAAGAGTCGGTGCCTGCTCTTTGCGATGCTAGGTGCCCTTTATTAGCGAATGTGATTTTTACTGTTAGCCATTTTTTGAGATCTATCATGTTTATGTAGTATTGAAATGAAAATCTTTCTCAAAGATGAATTGACAAATTTTGTTTGTTTCAAAATCGAGCTTACTACTATCAAACCAGGTGTTCTTAAAAAGTGATTTTTTGAAATTGCGTCTAACTTTCCTTTTATTAATTTTTTGTTTTGTTGCACCTGAATGAATTTATATTGTTATCTGTGATAAATGCTATCGCATTTGGGGCATTGAATTTCCCCAGAATTGAGGCCATGCAAAGTTCGAGCAAGAGGTCAGCCTGGCCTCCATATTATTCAAAGAAGTGCCCCTACCTAACATAAAAAATAATTATTTAACATTTGATCTATCATGATAAAATAAACAATAAATTTCATTGTATTTTAAAAATAAATATAATGATTAAATATAATAAATAAACATAACACATGTCACACTCCGCACAGAAATTACTGGGTCCTGCCATGGCAATAGCTTACCACAAAGTGATAAAGTAATTTGCATTGTGTATTGTTCCAACATGGGGGGTAAATTGCGTAAAGAGGCAGTAAGGTTGTTACCTTGTTAAGTATGAATAAAGGTTATGATAACAGTATAAATTGTACTAAAATAATTGCATTACATAGAAAACCAAAATATATTGTAAAACTGTAAAAGGAATTGAGGAAAAGTTAGTACAAATACAAAAAAATAATGTTTGAAATAATTACTAATCAGAAATGTCACGGTGGTAGAAAATGGTGAACTGGAAACATGACATTTAGAAAACGCGGGTATAGAAAATGGAAATACAGAAAATGAGACAGGTATAGAAAACGAGTTTATAGAAAATGCTGACATAAACAAATAACTCTGACTGCGGATTGCTGTTTTTGGCACCGCCGTTTTTTTCCATATAACGGTAAATATAAGTCCGGCGCAACTTAAACTATGTTCCATCCAACTGTATTTTTTCCGCTTTATAAGATGGTGGTGTCCATTTCTCTCTACGCGCGTTGGTGTCTTTAACCTTTACCGAAATTATTACAGGGGAAACCCCCTAAATCCCCACATTCTTAGACTTGATAGAAAGGGGGAAGGCATGAAAGGTCACAGGGAAGTTACTGGGTAAAATAATTCTCAAGGATTCACATTGTGTTTGCCTCTGCACTCCTAGGTTCAAGAATTAGCCATTTAGATTATCATCAGTTGATCATTGTGATGAAGTATTGAACTTTATACATATACTAATCTTTATCTTCTCATTTTCCAGCACTATTCTGGACTGGAGGAGGCTGTGTTCCGCAACATTGCAGCATGCAAGGAGTTCAGCAACACTCTCAAGACAGCCTATGGACCACAAGGCCGCAACAAGATGGTGATCAACCACCTTGAGAAGCTGTTTGTAACCAACGATGCTGCCACCATCATCAGAGAACTGGAGGTGAGAGTTCGAAATGTAATGATTAATTAAACTAATACAAGATTCGTGGTCAGAATGAATCTATTTATGATGGAAGTTTAGGATAGCTGTCAACCATGCATTGGAAGTAAAGTTTTGGTCCAGACAATGGCTGTTCAGGGGACGAGTGATGCAGTGTAGTTGAAGGGTATCATCTACCAATTTTTTTGCCAACATCTTCCACCTTGCCAATTTTGAGTTGTATGCATTTCCAAAGAGCTTCAGGGCCTCCGAATCTCCCCTGAAATTTTTAAGGTGGTAGCAGCCACTTTCAATGTCCACTATAATACGATTTTTCACCTAAGCTTAGAAAATTGGCAATTGTGATGTAACTATTTGATATAATTTTTAAGAATTGACCATTTTCAGAAAGCTCAGTTTCACATAGGATATAATAATAAATCTGGGAAGCATTAAAAAAAAAAAAAAAAAAAAAAAAAAAAAATTGTATACAAATAAATAGAAATATGCCGTTTATAGAGTACTTTATTTTATTTGTTTGTTTGGATCATGTTTCGTTAGTTTCATCCTTCATCAAAATGTTTTGAACACACAATCCCCGACTCCCTGGGACCCTCGCCTCAAGAACACGTGCGCGTGGCCCCTTCTCTTGTTTTCCCACTTGCAGGTGTGATGTTCACTGGCATAGAGAACGATGACATATACTAGTATATGTTATGAAACCCCAACAGAGCACTAATTTAGGGATAATAATGGATGATTACATCATATAGAACTATTTCATATATAATTTGTTATCCAACTTGTATAAAATATGAAAGCAATTTCTATATATTGCATATTAACCCACTTACGATAGGTGTCACACTTGATGAGACACATGGAAAAATAAACATTACCGGAGGTCCCGCCGGTGCAACGCTAGATTAGAGCTTGCACTCTGATTTTGTTGCATGTGGCGGGTGGCACGTGGGCAGGTTCCCGGATTCGCCCGGGAACTTATTGTGGGCATTGTTAGTGAAAATGGAAAGGGATGAATCATGAAAGTCCAGACAGCCAATATAAGGTACCACGAGTAAGGTGTTTTGTACTGGACAATAATTACATTATAAAGAGTATCAGCCCGAAAATCCTTTTTTAGAAAACCCGAAGAAAAGTTATAGAATGATCTGTGTCAAAATATTGCGTATTTATTTATTATTAGTTGTTTTATTTATTTATTATTATTATTATTATTTATTATTTTTTTTTTTTTTAAGGAAAAAGCCTCTGTAGCTTGGGTTCAGCAATTCAAAAATAAAATTAGATTGTATAAAGTATTTGTTGATAGTATATTGTTCTTATTTCATCATCTAATTTTAATTTCAATTTTATAAGGATAATGATATGCTTTAGAAATGGTAATAGACTGATAGTAACAGTATTCCTTCTTGATTGTGTATTTACCTAAAGGTCTTCTTTATTTGTAGGTTGAACACCCAGCAGCCAAACTGATGGTTCTGGCCTCTCAGATGCAAGAACAAGAAATGGGAGATGGAACGAATTGGGTTATCATATTTGCCGGAGCTTTGTTGGAAGCGGCAGAGGATCTCATTCGCATGGGCCTCACTCCCACAGATGTTGCAGAGGGCTATCAGTTAGCTCTAAACAAGGCCATTGAAATCCTTCCCACCCTCAAGTGCTGGGAAGTCACTGACCCTAAGGATTTGGTAACGGTAGGTTATTTTGTATTCAGTTATGTTGTTTATCTTGGTCTTGCCGGCTTGCAGTAAAGGTTTGAATAATTTCCAAATTCTAGTCATAAAGCCTGAAATCAGTATTTATTGCCCCCCCCCCCCAATATTAATGATAAAAAAATATATATAATAATGACATTGAATCAATATAGAATGTCTAATAAATTTGTTTAGTGCTGGATTTAGGTGATACTTTTTATTATGAAACATTTTAAATTTGTATAAAGTAAACCAGTATGTCTATTGTCTTGACCCATTACCTAAAGGTGACTCTCTCCTCTCCATTATTCTCTTTCTCTCTCTCCCTCCCTCCCCATTATTCTCTTTCTCTCTCTCTCCTCGTCGTTATTAACCTGTTGGCTCTGGGTGCTCAATAGCCTGCACTTGTGCCAGTAATCTGGGTGTTAGGCTTTCCTGACTGTATTACCAACCCACACAAATACATCTATATTGTATCAAGACTCCTTGCCTCCCCATCACAATGTTATCCCTTTTTCTTAAGGATTTCTTTTTCTTTCTTCTCCCCCCACCCCTTTTCCAAATTATATACTTTGTCATGCTGTATCAAGATGGTAATAGACTTTTATTGAGCAGATTCCATGTCATCATTACTGTTAGTCTACATTGATAACAATCACAAATAATAATCTGTTATTTGTGTAATTTTTAAGTATTTTCATTTTCAATTTTCTGTAATATACCCTCCACCATATATCCTGGCTCATGTATGGTATATTCTGCCCTCATATGTTGGTGGAGATAATCCAAGAGCCCCTTCATAAATGCTTACTGAGTTAATCCAAGATCTTTGTGTCCACATGACAAGTCATTCCTGTCACCTGTGCTCTCAACTGAATTTTTCACGATAGTACATTCCCATCATCCTGGCCCCTCAACCAAAATTTCCCATTACGGCATATTCATGTCTTGAAATTTATTTCATACTACTTGCCCTTTAGTAAAAAGTTAGATAATTATTTTTCTATATATATTAAGCAAATCCATTGATTTGTATTGTACTGTATTTTTTTGTCTATTTATATATTCTATTTTTTCAGGTAACAAAGGCTCTCCGTTCAGCCATCATGAGCAAACAGTATGGTCATGAGGACTTCCTTGCCAACCTTGTAGCCAAAGCCTGTATCTCCATCCTCCCAGAGAAGACCACCTTCAATGTTGACAATGTCCGCATTTGCAAAATAATTGGATCAGGCATTAACCGCTCAGAAGTGGTTCAGGTGAGTGGGAGGCATTGATATCCTTTAAAGTAAATGAGATTATCTTGCAAGATTTTGCCCTAAAACTTTCTGGAGATCTATAAGATAGCTCCTCTTTTCAGGGTATGGTATTCAGGAGGACAGTTGAAGGCTCTGTGACCTCTAAGGTAAAGGCCAAGTTGGCTGTCTACTCTTGCCCATTTGATGTTACAACCACAGAGACCAAAGGAACTGTCCTGATCAAGACTGCTGATGAACTGGCAAATTTCTCTCGTGGTGAAGAGTCAAAAATGGAAGATGATGTAAGTATAGGAAATTTGTCAGCAGATTTAGTGTTTTATATTTCTAAATTTTCTGTTAGGGAACATAACTTGTAACTGATGTTCTGTATGATGTATATATATATATTTTTTTTGTTCTCCATCAGATGTTTTTTTTTCCTTTGTCATTTTAATCTTCTACTTGTGGAAGTCATTAAGAAATATCTATTGACAGGTGAAAGCTTTAGCAGCAGCAGGAGTGAGTGTTGTGGTTGCCGGTGGCAAGATTGGAGACCTTGCCCTTCATTACCTGAACAAATATGACATCATGGCCGTCCGTGTTACAAGCAAGTGGGATCTTAGACGGTTGTGCAAGACTGTCGGTGCTGTTATTCTGCCCAAGATGATCTGCCCCACGAAGGAAGAGATTGGCTTTTGTGATAAGGTCTTCATGGATGAAGTAGGAGATACCCCTGTCACAATCTTCAGGTCTGTAAAAAAAAAGAATTGTGCTTAGACCACTGTCGAGAACCATGTAGGAGATTTAACATGGTTAACAACATTGAACATCAGACCATCCTTTCTTACTGTGTAGTAGAGCCTCATTGCAGTTCAGGATCCTGTAGAGATTTCAGTTCTCATATTTCTGGATATATATTCCTAGTCATCAGGAAACTTGTTTCCTGATGACTAGGCAAAGCAGCCAAGGATGCTACAGGAGTTAGTCTGCAGACCTAAAAGGTCCCTTGTTTCTCTGTGCCTAAAAGACATAAGCAAACACATCCATAAATGCACATACTTGTATGTGCACAGTCACACATACATACAATACCTGTCAGTGTTTCCAGGAACACTCGCAGAGCTTGAAATGGCACCCTATCTGTTTCTGAGCTGGAAATCTTTTTCTTATTTTCGGCTTCAAAATATACCGGCGTTAATGGGTTAAGTGGTCACACTCACAAATGTGTGGTTCATACGATGGGCACACATGTACACTAATGCGCAGTGTCAAGAATCCTTGCCACCCTTTTGCACTAGTTCTTTGCTCTCTCTCTCTCTCTCTCTCTCTCTCTCTCTCTCTCTCTCTCTCTCTTCTCTCTCTCTCTCTCTCTCTCTCTCTCTCTCTCTCTCTCTCTCTCTCTCTCCTCCCCCCCTCCCCCATTTTCCTATGTCTATATTTGTCATTTATTATGCTACATCCAGATAGTAATAGAATGTTTTCCCTGCACAGACTCCATATCATCTCTCTAGGCAGTCCTTAACTCAATGCAGTTTTCTTCTTCTGTAATGCAATCTGCGCCACCAGTCCCTGTGGGCAGGAATAGATCCTAAGCATGAAAATAGTACCTTCCCTGGAGCCAACACTCTTCCAGTCATGGCTTGCCCATGATACATTTTACCCTTGTATATTAATAGGAATAATGCAAAAGCTCCTTCCAAAAATGTCCACCAAGTCTAATCACCTTCCAAAAACTTTGTGCACATGTGGCGAGTCGATCCCATCATCCTGGCCTTTAGTCAAAGTCTATGACATCATTTTTACATCATCCGGCCCACAAACCAGATTTTTTCCTGACCATATAGTCACATCTAGATCCAAGTGGTTAATGAAGATTTATTGTAGACCATTATATAAGGATGGATATAGAGAGGGAATTGAACAATGAGCCTGGGAGGTCTTCCTTTTGCAGGAAGATTTGGAAGCATTGTGATTGTAAGATTATTATTCCCACACTTCAGTTTTCTTTCCTTTCTCTTTTAGTGAATTAGTATCTTGGTAAAAAAGAATAGATAAAAAGAGGGCTATTCCCAGTAACACTTTTGTCTTAATGCATTGTCATCAAAAATCATAGATATTTTTATGTTACAGAATGAATACAGAATTAACAGGAAAAAATGCATTTAAATCTTTTTATCTCCCTGACAGGCAAGAGAGTGCAGAATCCAGAATTGCCACAATTGTTATTCGAGGCTCCACTGACAACTACATGGATGACATTGAGAGAGCTGTGGATGATGCTGTCAACACTTTCAAAGGACTTTGCAGGGTATGGATTGGCAAAGAACTTTAAAATTGAATAATAGTTGTTTATTGTATGGAACTTGATTTTCGTTTTTACATGTGTTTATTTAATCTATTGTTGCTGTAGTTTGGGAAATTATGTAATTACTGTCAGAGCATTCCATACTAAAGGATTTATATTTTTAAGAGACTATGATAATAGGGAGGGTATAAGCATGGATAAATAATTCATATTTAATTGTAAATGTCATTTGATAATTTTACCAAGAATGAATCACTAATGCACAATATCCCTTGTGCATCTCTGCAGGATGGAAGCTGTGTTGCAGGTGCTGGAAGCACAGAAGTAGAGCTTAGCCGGCTCATTGAACAATATGGATCTCAGTGTCCTGGTCTTGAACAGTATGCCATCAAGAAATTTGCTGATGCTCTTAAAGTGTTTCCCAAGGTAAGTTTAATATGTGCATTGTGAGATTAGGAAAAATGCTGCAGGTTGGAAGACAATCACATGATTTATTTATGGCAACTAACTTGAATCTTTAATATACACATGCATCTCTCTTTTTGTAACAGGTCCTTGCAGACAACTGTGGTGCAAATGACCAAGAGACTTTGTCCAATTTATTATCAGCACACTCTGAAGGCAAAACCAATGCAGGTTTCGACTGTGAAGGAGAAGGCACGTTAGTAACTGATGCTAAGGAAAAGGAAATCTTTGATCTCTACCTCACCAAGTACTGGGCACTGAAGTATGCGACCTCTGCTGCCAACCAGATTCTCCGTGTCGATCAGATCATTATGGCGAAAAGGGCGGGTGGTCCCAAGGCCAGAGGAATGGGCCCCCAGGATCCTGATGATGATTAAATCAAGTGCTGGCCAATGGAAATGCTTTCCTTTTTTACTTAATATTTCTGCTTGTCCTTTCTGTTCTGTTCTCTTCATTTTTCACATGTAATATTGCTTTACTGACTATCAGGGAATAACAAAATAATTTTGAGGAGAAGGTGATACCCCTGGTCATCTGTAGCTCGTGCAGCACCCAGTGTTCAAGAACCTTTTATGAACTGAAGGACCGAGTAACAAAGCTTGTTCATTGCCAGTGCTCAAAAGGAACACAATTATCGTCATTCACACAAGCCTTTCTATGATTAATAAATCATCCAAATAGAAAACCAATTTTATTTACCTGAAAATATCTACTTACTCATCCTTTATTAATGTTCAAAAGTTTTGCAAGATATTTAAAATCCAGGTATTCATAGGCAGTTTATACCAAACGAAACTATGGCTTCTTTTACCCACAGTTCAACGTAAGTAGATCAACAATAATTTTGTTCAAATACTGGATTTTGTGAAATAACTAAACTGATTGGGTACAAATTCGTAAGCATTTTTAAACAACCCAAAGTTAGAGCCGCATTGCATTTTGAAAAAAAAAAAAGGAATTTTGAGATTTCAGTCAGAGCTGTCTAATGTGTATCGATATAGAATTTTTAAATAAAAATATGGCTATTATTAGATAAATGAAACTACTTTATATAAGTTTTAAGCTGTTTTATACGTGTAACAATTAAGAGTTGATTTATATCACTGCAATCTCTTATAGAATGGATCAAAACATCTGTTGTGTGAAAAAAAGATTTTAAAAGTGTAAAGTCCAACTGGGTGATGTGTGATCAGTGTATCAGCTTTGCATATTTTTGTCATTTTAATTTTGTAAATCGCTAAAATCATTATGAAGAGTACATGCAATTCAAAAGCAAATTTTCGAGTATTTTGAAAGTACCACATAAGTGACTATTTACACAATTTTCTTTTTTACCTATATTATTCTTACCTGTGCAAATATTACATTTAAGTGAATTTATCTCTTTTTTATTGTTTATGAACTAAATCTGAAAAAGCCTTGCTCTACAGAGATTATTTGAGAAGTATGGCCACAGTTTAGAGACGAAATTTATTCCAACTGCCGTATACTTAAAGGAAATATAAACGTAATAAATTTGATTTCATAGCACATAGGTGTGATAGGCAGTTCTAAAAAGCAAATAAAAAGAACATCTATAGATAATCTCGTTTAATTTAAATTTTCCAATATAAATTGAAATATACAACAGAAGTTTGTGTTTTTACATGCAATGTATTTTCTTAATGTGATTTCTCAGGAAATATAAGAATAAGTTCTTTGACGTGCATTCGTTTTACACCGAAAATACTAATAATAGAAAAAAATGATGTTTTAGATAAAAAGCTCAATACCTTCTTCAAGGAAGAGCAGAATTGCAGCAGTAATAACTATGAAGATGCATTTTTGGAGTAAACTGAAAAAAAAGTATTTATTGTTGCGACACATTGCAACGCACTTGGGGCTTACATACATCTGGCAAACCGCTATGTACCCCGCTGTTTAGAGATGGTTAAAATGAAAAATGATGTGGCCCCGTGAGAGCCAGCGAGTGCATAGTAAATGACGATGAACGCTTCATCGTCACCGTTCCGTCACTTTCTTATATAGAATCAAATGGACCTGCTGGTCGTCACTGCCACGACACCGTCACGGATAGATTCTTTCGAAGAATATTTTGACGTGAAGTAACAAAACGTTGCCGGGACACTGTCGACAAATGTGAATGACACCCTGTCAACCACGTCCGTGACTAGTAGCCACAGTGCTTTCTCATCTTGGATGAAAAAAGGGTTGACTTTGTTCGGCAATATATATATATATATATATATATATATATATATATATATATATATATATATATATATAATATATATATATATATATATATATATATATATATATATAATATATATATATATATATATATATATATATATATATATATATATATATATATATATATATATTATATATATATTATATATATATATATATATATATATATATATATATTATATACATGTCAAGCAGGTGCTATAGTGACAACTTATTCAAAGACAAACTATGGAATATAATAGAGCTAAACAAACCAGGTAAGAAACTAAATTTAATATTTTATTCCTATTTGATGATAAAACTGAATGGAAATATTCCTCTCTTTCCAAATGTTAGGAATGACTGATGATATTTCATATATTTTGTGATATAATTCTTTGAATCAAAACATCCCCTTCCATTTAAATGTTATAAATCACTGACAAGCCATACAGAGACACTGCGAATCATTTTTTACTCCTCGCTTCGGGAACGGGAGTCACCTGTCGTGATTTTTAAACTGATTTATATATTGCAACACTTCTGAAACAATGCAACTAAATATGTGTTTGATGCGGAACGATGGGAGACGGATGCAATTTTTAGGCCAGTTATTAACCATAACAATATTTGTATTTTGTCCGACCATATCGAAATGATGGGACAATCAATACTCAAGGTATCGGATCGACCTGATTAAGATCAAATACATCAATCCTGTATTATGTTCATACAATATTTGTAATTTTTTAATGTTGCCCAATGATATTTTAGTGAGTACCGGCCCGGGGATATTATGGTCGGTGCATCGAATGGAAACGTTAAAGCATATTTTAAGTTTTCTTTTCAGTTGGGCTTGGTAAACATCAAATTTACGTAACATAACCATATCACACAGTACTTGTCAAGGCTTATGGTATGCGGTAGAAGACGAGATTTTACATGAAACTATGTAGGGCAAATGATCGATGGTTTTAAGTCGGATATTGTTCCATTTATATAAGGTTAATCTGTACCCCAGAACTATCAGGTATCTATGTATTTGTTTAGAGTGAAAAGATAAGATCCTACTTTTGTAGAATGGCTTTGCATTTAGAGATAATGAATATATAGTATCAATTCATTGTTTTATCCGTGAGGCCCCTGCTTGTCAGTAGCTATAGTAGATAAAAGTTCATGAGGTGCCTTCAAGAAGGAAAGACAGGGAAAAGGCACTTTCACATGATAAGAACAATGGTAAAATGTGACTGCTCTATGCTAACCAAAGCAAGGTGGGCCCGGATGGAAGTTGAAGATAATTTCCATTTAGCTTGTATTACAAATGTATACCAAATCTCTCTCTCTCTCTTTCTCTCGCACATACACACGCACTCACACATGAACACACACACACACACACACACACACACACACACACACACTCTCTTCTCTCTCTCTCACTCGCCCCTCCCTCTCTTTATGTGAGAGGGATTTCCATTTTTTAAATCACTTAACCCAAATCTAGATCAAACAGACATACTGAAGACGTATTGAATATAATTAAAATTGCGTATCTGACATTCAAGTGATATTCTAATACTTTGTTCTTTATATTTCATACATTTTTCGATTCAGCCATTTATAACTTTTTGAAAATTTTCATTTACAAATTTCCGTCTGTCTCTCCCTTTCCCTGTCTCACATAAACATACAATTTCTTTCATTCTCATTATCTCCCCGCCTCCATTGCAGTTAAAAAGGTTAATATTCTGTTTATAAAATACTGTTCCTGATGACTTCCTGTTGTTGGTATCTACCTCATAAAAGAAAATTAAGTTATAACTCGTTATAACAGAGGGATAGAGATAGAGAAAGGGTGAGAGTGAGATGTTGAAAGGTACATTGTGAAAGAGCGAAAGAGAGAGAGTGAGAGTGAGAGTGTGAGAGTGAGAGTGAGAGTGAGAGTGAGAGTGAGAGTGAGAGTGAGAGTGAGAGAGAGAGAGAGTGAGAGTGAGAGTGAGAGTGAGAGTAGAGAGAGAGAGAGAGTGAGAGAGAGAGAGAGAGAGAGAGAGAGAGAGAGAGAGAGAGAGAGAGAGAGAGAGAGAGAGAGTGAGAGAGAAGAGTCATGACAGTGTACATCTAAAATGCATGTAAATTAATAAAATGTTCAGCCTGAGTATAGGCCTACGTTTCATTTCATTCCACTCGCTCCTTTCTCTCTATATCTCGCTCTCCCAGTGTCCTCCCACTCTCTATCTCTCTCTCTTCTCGTATAGTGCCTTTTTCTAGTTAACGCTGTGGCTTTGGATTCGCAGAGGCTCACGTGTGAGTGTTCCATGCCAAGTGTAGAATCACCTGTATGCCCATACTTTTATAATATTACTATTTATTTCCATTTTTTGGAAGATGGAAATCAACAGTAATCTCTCTCTCTCCTTGAATAGAAAACGGAAGCACAAGGAGCTGGCCGTTTTTCCGTAGTAGCATGTCTGCCGTTTTCTAACCATTAGATGATAATGAAAACGTATATAGACAAAAAAAAAAAAAAAAAAAAAAAAAAAAAACTATTACAAACGGATGAATATTAAACTACAGTTACTGTGCGTAGAATGTGATGATTATGGGATTCCCTGCGTGACTTTATTACTCATTGCACTGCATAAAACAATATACAATATATACATATAACATAGAATGCACCCACATCTCTTCATAAAAAAATGTATTAGATGTATAACTAAAGAATATACATTGAACCTGTAAACTTATCTAAAAAGTATATAATTATCCATAGTTAGTGTGTTGCAGAGCTGAAGGGGACTATCCCTGATGGGGGGGGGGGGGGCTCAAATTGAGTTGGCTAGTGTATAGAATAGGTACATGAATGAGAAAACTACCAAAAGAGTATTAAAGGCCTGGTGTGGCTCGTTCTCTTGCAGTCGACAGGAGACCCACTAAACACCTGGGGAGGTGCGTCACTCATGAGCGCATAGGTACGCCTGTGTGGACCT